CTAGGAATTTTTCAGTTGAAATCTAATTATGATTTGGGATGCTAAGTTACTAGAAGAGCATAGTGTGGCTTAGAAGTGCAATCATTAATGTGGCAAATGTTAACTTAGCATTAATATGCATACCTATCATGGGAAGGGGCAAGTTTGGGATTTGCAAAGTCTCCATTTTGAAGTTCATTAAAGAAAAGTTTTCCCTTCCCATTAAAGTGCACATTTTGGCCTCATTAAAAAGTTAACATTTTGGGATAGCAGCTGTGATGTGGCAGATGGCATTCAAAGGAAGAAGAAGCAAATAAGGAGGTACCTCAGTTAAAGTGCTGCTTTGAATCAAGGCAGATCCCCAGCGCAATAAGTGCCGATCTTCAAAGCAATGGCCAAACGGAAATTGTTAGACAGACTATGGGAGAATTTTTAGCATGTATCGGCAAGGCCTTGTTTTCAAATTTCTCATCAGAACTGGGTTCTGTTAGACATTTATTCATTATTGTTGCTTTATTTCCCCTCTCTTTCTTCAAGATGAGAAATCTACCTATAATTTCAAACCTTGTCAGTAATGTTGAGCTCTGCTGTATATAACACGGTAGTAACTCAGTCATTCCTCCTTTTTTGTAGCATAACGTCATGCACTGTTCCATTTCAGAATATCTCAATGCCCCTCTCCGTTTCTTCCTCAGTGCCAACAACATGCCAAAGCAGGTGGAAGTGAGAATGCATGAAAGTCACCTGAGTCCGGTGGAGCCTCGGCCGAAGAATATTTGTATGCGCCTCTGCTTTTCACTTAGAAAAAACCTGCTCCTTTCACTTACTGTATTTGGTAAGTAAAGCTGGGAAATGTTTGATTTCTTCAGTTCAGACCTGGAATCTGTATTCTTAGGGGATGAGCTAGCAGAGTAAAGATATACTCACCATAATCATCACTTCTCTGGCTCTATTAGACCCCCCCACTCCCCCGCTATCCAAAGGTTTTCTGCTCTTGTAGTGACTTTGCACTTTCTCCTTGCTGCTCAGAGCAAAAATGTCATGCTTTTGAATTCTGATTCTCAAAATTCTACGCCACTGGCCTTTATGACTGAGGGGTTCTAGGCATTGTAGTCCAAGCAGAAAATGTTCTACACTTGGGTAATTCCGCCTTATAACAGGAACTTTTTTCTGGAACACTTGCCTGTTCCTAACTGCTGTCCATTTTCTTCTCTTCCCGATTTAAAACCTTCCCTTTCCAGGAAGACTTTGCACAAACTCTTTGTTCCCATGCCCTCTTGCCACTTTGAGTGCACTTCAAATGCAATGATGCCTCAGTGCCTTTACGTGAAACAACCACATTTTGCCTCCTTGCTTCCATGCCCCCTGGTGTTTCCTTTGTGTTGGATTTTAGGTTGAAAACTTCTCAGGGCAGGACACTGTTCTCTTATACCCTGTGAAATGCCTTGCATGTTATTAGCAGTGTATTATCAACTAGAGGACCTATTTGGCTGCAACACAAATATGATGGCCAATCTGACGAAGGGTGCAACTACACTGGATTTGAATCACAACCTGTATTACATTTGAAATCACAGTCAGTGCTCACAGAGGGGCTGTGGATTGATTTGAGATGTGATGCAAGTCACATTCCAGCCTACAGCACCTGTTTATTTGTTTGTTTGTTCATTTGTTAGAAAAATAACACAAAAAGATACTTAACAGTATCTTTTCATCATGCCAACAGTTTAAATCTATATGTGAGCAGAGATGAGGTAATTCCTGCATGCATTCCTTGAAAGCAAGGGAAACGAGTAATGGATGGGAAGGGGTGTGTGTGATTTTAATGGCATTTTCAGATCTGTCAATTAGGTAATTAACAGTATTTAGTTTTTGCTTCACAACAAAAGGGCTTTCCCAAACAAGGATATGACATGATTCAAGACTAGCATCGGACTCACACATTAAAACCATGGTGTTTTGTTTTTGCATGCCCTCTCCTCCAGGAACATCCTGGCCCAACTGCCTATGTCTCTGAAACATGATCCGCAGACGCATGTGCACAAATCTTTACAAGAATGTATCACAACTGACCACATGGGGAAAAGCCTATTGAAATTGTTCCAGCTTAAAAAAAGTAGAAACCTCCCAACAACAGAGGTGGGAAAAACACTTTGGGAGGGAAAAAAAAGATGGACTAATTCCAATCAGCCTTTGTATCATACAGTCAGTTTTTTAAAAAAAAAACATACACACGCGCATACACAAAACCAAAATGTTGAATTCAGCTGCTATATAAGTGGAGCAAATCCCACAGTATTTGGCCATGTAATTGCACCCTTGGCCTTAATTTTCTATTTGAGTCAGATTTTTTTTGTAAGAGGCACATGAATGGATAGTAATGGCAATAACTCCATGAGGATGCTTTAGCACAAGTTTCAGACCACAGGGCAACACAGATTCTGCTCCTTTGGTGTGGCAGGGGGGGGCATTTTAAGATGATGTTTTGTGAGTCAATAAATCCAATAGTAGTAATCGTTAGTCCTAAGAATTAATCATATGTTGCCAAAATACGTAGATCCATACCTAAATCAATGGCCACCAGCATTTGCAGGGTTGCAAGACGAAAAGTAGTAGGTTATGCTTGCCTTTTCTCTTATGCAACCTACCTCCTTAACATCATACAGTAGGTAAGCAGTGTTGGAATGCTAGATTAGAGACCTCTGCCCTCTTGTTCCCAATTAGTTTTGCATCATCTTCCAACATTGTTTCTGCCCCGATCGGTTCTATCACCACTCCTAAATATGTGCTCCTCAAATGTGCATTGCCACAAAGAAAACCTTCTTTCCCCTTTCCCTTCCCTGGTAGAAAGAAGGTCAGGAAGTGGGTTTCTGCAGTTCAGGAAGGTGCTGCAGCGCCATTCTGGACCCTAGAGAGCTGGTGCAATTGCCACTGAATAGATGAGTGCAAACGTATGGGTTTGGACACTTCTTTGTCCAAATATCTGCAAACATACCTGTGCACCTTTGTCTCTGAATTTCAGTGGTGACTGTACCAACAGCAGGAACTTCTGAGGCAACAATGGTGTTTTGGCTGGGGTGGCTTGGTCCCCGGGTGTGCTTTTTCTAACATAGTCCATCACCACTAGGATATTGGCCTGTTACACAGTCCAGGAGTCCAAGCTCTGTGCCTACATTTTGAATCAAATGGTTTTTCAATGTACAAACACACAAGAAAAATCCCACTTTATTTCACAATCTCTAGCAAAAACAAAGCAACACCAACAGAATCCTCACATCTGAAATCCTCTGCCTCTTGCCAGGAGAAAGAGAGAAAGGGGAGTGAAAGGCATGCATCCCTTGGCTTTTCTCACAAGCTACTGATACCTTTTAGCTCTCTCTCTCTCTCACTGTACACTCGGCCAACGATACAGTGATCCAGTTTTCTCAATTGCCTTCTGGGCACAGCAGCTTCCAAATATGGAGCAGTTTGACATTTTGGTGTGGTTTGTTGGCTTTCTGCCCAGGCTTACTAGATTGTTTTTGTGCGTTTTTTAATGTTACAGTTCTGTGAAGCTAAGAGTCAAATGCACAGCCTTCACAGAGCCTGCCTTTATTCCCTTCAGCATGAATGGGCAGCTACACTTATAGTAGGGGAGGAAAACTGTACATATAGTTTTAATATATTCATATATCCTGAAAAGAGGTTAACAGTAAATTTAATTTGACATTGCCTTTTGGCTCAGATTGTTCATTCTAAAATGACCAAGAATCTTTCCCAGGAGAAATGTCTTGACGATTATTTTCACTTAGATTAACACAGCCGCCTGGGAAATTCATGCATTCTTTGAATGATAGAGAGTCTCATTGTGAAAATGCTGCATTTGAAACCTGGGAAAGAGACGTGGAGTAGCAAAGATGCAAAAAGAGGCTATAATGCCAAATTGATTAATGAGTCCTTCGACCAACAGGCAGAACTCTTTTGTGTTGTCCACAGTCTTATAAATGCTGGACAGATGCAACCATTACAACCAAGTATAGAGAATTGCAACCGACTGGCAGCCAATTTTGGATCGAAGACTGAGTGCATCCATCCAGACACTGACTCCCCATTTAGCCTAGTAGGTCAGATTGAGATATCCAGTCCACTGTCTAGTCAGGATTTACATACTATTTTCCCTATTTCTCCATGTTTTAAGAGTCATTTCACATCTATGACCCAAACAAAGATTAAAACCCCTGCTCTACTTTGTCAATGTTTGTTTGATTCATCCATGGTTATATACTTCAGCCCAATACCTCAAGAAATTTCTCAGAGGATAGACTGAAATAATATGAATTTATTTTAAAATCATTCAGTTTGTTGTTAAGTGCCATAAGAATATTTCTGATTTACGGTGACCTTATGAATTAATGACCTTCTAAAGGTTCTGTCATTAACAGTGCTATTTACTGTAAGTCCCACAAACCAGAATCTGGGAATGCTTTACTGCTGGGTTAATCCATTTCATATTAGGTCTGTATCTTTTCCTACTTCTATTTTACCACACATTATTGTGTGTTCTAGTTGAATCTCTTTTTCTCATGACATGTCCAAAGTACGATAGCCCCAATTCAGCAATTCAAAAGCCCAATGGGCCTCCCCCAGGAAGTAGGAGTTAAAATTTAGTTTGCCCACTAGGTGAAGCCCATTGGAGCCAAATTAATGCCAAATTAATAATAATATCAGGTGGTTGGAAGTACTGTCTTTCCTTCAGTTTGCACTCCTTATACTACATTGCAGTTTGCAGTCCTTCTAGTTTCTTTTCAGAAAGCATTCAGAAATGATCTACCATTGCTTTCTTCTGCGCAGTACTAAGAAGCTTGATTACTACTGCTGTTGTCTATGAAAAGTGATGTTCCATTGTCACCTTTGACCACCGCTGCCGCCCAATAACTACCCCTCCAGAATTTCTCCACTCCCATCACCACTGGATCAATTCTCTTCAATGATGCCACTCTTAATTCCCTATGTAACTATTCCACTTTGGGTGATTCTGATGCATAGAAGCTCTATTTTACTGAGAGAAATAGACAGATACAGGGGGATAAGAGGCAAACACAGCCACAGCAATCCATAAACCTCCCCTAATTCACAGTCTGAGCCAAACTAGATGGAGATTTATGACCGCACCTTCTTTTATAATCTGCTATCCGACTGATGGTTTGGCACTGATGTACTAATATTTGCTTCATTGGGGAAAACATGCATATTTTCCAAAATGGGGCACTAATAGCTGGCGTGTGTGGCATAAATGGTGGAAGCAGAAAATGGCTAGTAGTCTGCCCCTTTCCCAGCAAGCCACTGTGGTCTTCACTGGTAGAAAGGCAGGAGGACCATGGTGTGTTGGACAACAATGTCTGATGGAGGCCCAAGTGCTTTCAACAAGTGGCAGTTCAAATTCTGGGCAATGCATATCTAATAAATTACAAATATCGTAAGCTTTTGAATGGCACAGAACTCTTCATTGGGCAAAGATGGCATTAAGCCTGGTTTAATACAGAGAGTCCAAAAACAGAGCCAGTTGCCATGGCAGTGATGTATGTGATCAGACTGCCACGAACAGCAAATGAGGGTTTTAGATTCTACACAGGACAATAACTTCATGTTCAACAAAACCCACTGTACACAATGCAAGCTGTAGTCTGGTTTTAAAATTGCACCAAAGTGCACTTTTTAAACAGCATCAGAGCTTCCATCAACGGCCAGCCAGCACCATAGTCAGAGCAGCTGTTCTTGCCCATTTGACCTGCAGCACATATTGAGCCATTGGAGCTGCCCCTCAGATAAGAACAGTATCACTGCCCAGCCAGCGCTGGGAGGCCTCTCGACTAGCTTGGCACTGGCTGGCTAGCAAGATTTTTTCTTGCCAGGGGAGGCATCCCCAGTAGCTCCATTTTTGTGGCATGTCCAGTGAGTGAGGTCATGCCCCAACCCCAGTGCTGTCAGTAGTAACAGAAAGCTTTCCTGCATGGGCCAGCCTGCTCCATGTCTCGCTTTAATGAGAGGACTTGCATTAAAACAGGGCATGGAAAACAGCTGGTTTCACACCTGTTTGCAGATAACCATCAGGAAAAGCCTACTGTGGGTTATCGGCAAATGTTTAGTTCCTGCCATGTTTTATACCATCTACCATGAATCATCCTGCAGACCATGTTAGAAACTGCTTCTGATGAGTACAGTAAGAAAGTTTCTCCCCTTCTCCAGACTTTCCTGCTGCAGAGGAGAAAAAAATGGGTATGCCAGGCAGATAGGTTGAAGACTGGTGAGCGAGAAACTTGTTATGCTTAGTTTCTCATAGTAACATCTGTTTGAAACCTGTTTTTCTAGGATTCTAAATGAATTACTCAGAATTCTGTCCTGTATGCCCCCCTTTTACATGTTTGTTTCTCAATCTCTACAGGCGTCGTTATGGGTGCAGTATGTGGAGCCCTCCTTCGCATGGCGACACCTATTAATCCGGATGTCATCATGTTGATAGCCTTCCCAGGAGACATCCTGATGCGGATGCTGAAAATGTTGATTCTTCCTCTAATTATCTCCAGTTTAATCACAGGTGAGCTCTATTATGGCAATTAGAAGGCTAATCTTTTGTGAGAGATTGCCTTAAAGCTAGTCATGGCAGCAGCTCATCAGATCAATATTTCAGTTGGTTTGTCATAATGCTATATACCCGAATTATTCTTGCTAGGGAGATTGGTGTGGTACGCTCATATTTATAAAAATTAAGTGATTGCTTAGGATGCCACACTTTTCACATGGTATTGTTTTGTCTTCTAAAATGGCAACATTTTGGCAAATGGCAGATGAGGATTTTATTGGATGAAGAAGGATCAAGTCGCGATTGGATCTTTGTCTTATTTTTGCAAGAGACTAGAATTGATGTTGTTTTGAATTTAGCTGTAACTTCAAGCTAAATTCCTTGTCAGCTTTTCCCGCACAGAATTCATCAAAACCGCCTCCAACATAGTGAGGTTATATGAGATCATGATGTTCTCTGCAGTGTGATCAAGATTACAGGAACTTTTTAAAAATGGCTATTGTGAGTATACACTTGAAGAAATTAAACTGAGGGTTTGACTGCATTATTGAATTAAATCACGAGCTGGTAGAGTTTTTTCGAAATCAATTTAACGTCACATGATTTTTCTGCTGATGTGTGCATCTGTAGGGTACAATCTATAGTATAATGGTAAACTATGTGGTACACAAGCGCTCGGGTGTTCCAAGTCCCTGTTTTCCCTGTTTTTGCTCCGTGCTGGGAACTTCACCGCATTCTGCTGATGTCAGACTTAGCAGCTTTTATCTAACAAAGCCAGCATCAGTAGCCTACATCAAAGTCCACAACTACTCTGACAGATATTTCCTCTGTAATTTAGGAATGGTCATATCCGATAAATCATATTTTTAAATATTTAATTGTTTTATATTTCATGTTAAACTGGCTTAGCACTACATTGATACTGTGATAAAATAGAAAAAAGGTATGGGAAGAAAGGAAGAGTTCAGACTGCAGGTTGTCCTGCGATCAAGAACTCATTACACTTAGCAAATCCCCGCAGAACCCACTGTTTATTCGGATACAGGGAATCACACATGCCAAATCAAGTAAACTAAAATGCAACCAGAATAGATTCAAAATAAACTACCCCTCCAGCAGGTGTTTTTTCTAGTTGTGCCAAACCCAGTGCAAAAACAGGACTACGTAATTCAACATGTTGAATGGCATCTGAATGGGCAACTAGAAAAAAAAGTATAAGGATGTTTCCATTGCTGGAAACCATGACCTAGATCATCCATACTGTGGTATTCCTCGTTACAGTGTAATGCTGTGGAAACTGGGTGGTAGAAAACTGAGAGGAAATATAATGTGGTGCTGGAAGAGAGCTTTATGGATGCCATAAGCCAACAGAAAGATACATAAATGGGTTCTAGATGAAATCAAGCCTGAACTTTCATCAGAAACCGAAATGATTAAATTGATACTGTCATATTTTGGACATCAAATGAGAAGACTCACCGGAAGATACAGCAGTGCTAGGAAATGCGGAAAATAGTAGTCAAGGAGGAAGACTTAACATGGGAGGCATTTGCTCAAGAAAAGAAGCCGTAACCTCTAGTTTTCAAGACCCTTTTGGAGGTTATTAATTCATGAGGACACATAAATTTGAAAGGAATTGACAGCACATAATAACAAACCCTAAAAAAATGTCCGGGGGGAATTTAGGGATTAAGGAGGACAAACAAATAGAAGCTTACTACTCATAAAACCAAAGTACTTTTGGCAGGGAAATCTCATGATTTGGATGGAAGCATGAGACTAGAAGTGAATTCCAGTTCCTCCTAAAGGATTCACAACAGAGCTTATGAATTTTCCGGGACTCAGTGTTACCTAGAGAGATGCAGGTGATGTTGATTACCAGTGTTGATCTAGTGTCAGCTTGAGTTGATTCAGCAACTGTGCCTCAGCTTTGAAAAAGTGTGCTTTCTTACACTTGTCTATCTATCATAATGTGTTCTTTGTGGGGCAGCATATCGTGATGGTTTGGAGGCTTCAGATAACAGAGGATGCAGCTGTACAGCATGTCAGTGGATTTGCGGTCTCTATTTAAAGTGCTGGATGTCATCCTTAAACTCCTAAATGGCTTTGGACCAGGATAATTGAAGTACTACTTGCAGCTATATGAACCGGTCCAAGCTCTAAGATCAACAGAGAGGCCATGCACATCAGTCTGGCTATAAGATGCATTAAACTGGTGGCTCCATTGTTATGATATGATCTACTCTAGGATTTGCACATGACTCCATCTCCGACACTTTAAAATGCCTGATTGTTTGCAATTGCTTTTCATCAAGTGTCAAAACACGTCTTACTATAGTGTTGTATAGCTATTTTAACAGTTTTAACCAACAGTTTTTATTTCATTATTTTAAAGTTCCATTTGCTGATGTTTCTTGCGGAAACTTTCCCTGGAAAGGCATTATGAAAATATTATAAGTAAAGGAATAGACTGAACAGTCCAAAAAAAAATATAGTTAGTTAATTAAAAATATTTATCTTGAAGAGGACCAAGGCAGAATTAGTTACACTGAGTTTAGTTTAATTTAGGAAAAATGGTTTCCTACTTCAATCAGTTCTCAAATGTATTTGAACTACGAAGGCTGCAATCCAAAGTACACCAGTTTGGACACCTCTGAACATAGTGGTATAGTAGGATATATATATGAGAACATTTGTACATTTCAGAACATTAGTGTCTGTCAGAAACCCTGGGAAGTCCTCTGCTTATTAATGTAGCTTAAGGGTTTGGTGTACACATGTGCTATCTTATGTGCCATCAATTCAGAACTGACTTATAGCAACCCTAATGGTAGTAGGATATATATATGAGAACATTGAAAGTAGGGAATGGTAAACCATGTCTGAGTACTTTTTAGAATCATCGAATAACTAAGTTAGAAGGGGCCTATAATGCCACTGAGTCCACTCCCCTGCTCAATGCAGGAATCTGAATCCTTAGAAAAACCTGGAAACAGTCACCATGAATCAGAATCAATGGGGCAGCATTATTATTATTATTAAGTATTTTTATCAGTTCCTCACCCCAACTGAGCTTCCACGGATAAGTAGGGATTTGAACCCAGACCTCCGGAGTCCTTATCCATCACTCTGTTTACTACACCATTTTTGCTTCCCAGGAGAAGAACATGCCTCTGTATATGTGGATACCCTTGAAAGTAGGGAATGGTAAACCATGTCTGAGTACTTTTTAGAATCATCGAATAACTAAGTTAGAAGGGGCCTATAATGCCACTGAGTCCACTCCCCTGCTCAATGCAGGAATCCGAATCCTTAGAAAAACCTGGAAACGGTCACCATGAATCAGAATCAATGGGGCATTATTATTATTATTAGTAGTAGTAGTAGTAGTAGTAGTAGTAGTAGTAGTAGTAGTAGTAGTAGTAGTAGTAGTAGTAGTAGTAGTAGTAGTAGTAGTAGTAGTAGTAGTAGTAGTAGTAGTAGTAGTAGTAGTAGTAGTATACAGCACTTATTGTTACACCAAATGACTCCCAAGTTATAGTAATCCTATTAGGGTTTCTGAAGATACTTGATATTCAGAGGCTGATTTACCATTGTAGGGATTTGAACCCAGGTCTCCTAAACTCTAGTCTGGTACTTTGCCAACTGCTACACACTGACTGACACTGACTCTATAGACTGCTAAAAAAGATCCTTTTATTCAGTGAATTAACTAGTACAAAAGAGAATATTATTTCAAAATGTTATTCTTAATAACTATTCCTGGCCATTGTGGACGGTTATGATACTAAGACAACTATTGATGTATTAACTCCCACAAGTATATATTCTTCATTTTGTTATAAGTGGATGTGAAGCATAAATAATCATTTTTGAGGTATTGTAGAGTCATAATATTTAGCTAACCAATATTTATTAACTCCTAATTCTTTCTTTCTCTCTCCCTCCCTCCCTCCATCCTAATTCTTTCTTTCTTTCTCTCTGCCTCCCTCCCTCCCTCCCAAACAGGTCTGTCTGGCTTGGATGCTAAGGCTAGTGGTCGATTAGGAACAAGAGCAATGGTCTACTATATGTCTACAACTATCATTGCTGCTGTACTTGGAGTCATTCTGGTTTTAGCCATTCATCCGGGTAACCCAAAGCTCAAGAAGCAACTGGGGGAAGGGAAAAAGAATGATGAAGTGTCCAGTCTTGATGCTTTTTTGGACCTTATCAGAAACTTGTTCCCTGAAAACCTTGTGCAAGCATGCTTTCAGCAGGTGACTAGCAGACCTTTATCTTCCATTAATACATGTAATATATCACAGTAAAAATAAACAACTTTTACTGTAATAAACAATTATACACCTTCCTGAACAATTACAATAATCCTACTACTGTATAACTAGGCCTTATTTTATGTGCATTTGGGATCCCCTATGCCTAATCACCTATTGCCAAAAGGAATGCTTCTATTGGATGCCAGAGTTTGTCCTATCTTCAGAAGATTTTTTTTTTCAGTTTGCCATTCACTAGTGATGAAAACACTGCCTAGTTTCTTCCATGCTTTCGTTAAAATTCTATTTATTCCTCTAGATTCTTCAAAAAGAGACTTCATGGGCTTTTTGCATAGCTTTCTGATTAGAGCTCCTTAGATGTCCATTGCACTTAGCTGTTCAACCAAATATTTCGCTTCAATTTGTGTTCTAAACACAGTAGGATCCCCTATCCATGGGATCAGTATTTTCTGATTCACTTATTCACTGCTTGAAAATGCTTAAAAAAAACCCCAAACCAGAAATACACATTTATGCATATTTCCAGGGTGGATTTAGCAGAACTGGCTGCTAGAGGAAGACAGAGACCATGTAATGTATAGCATTCCATGCTTCGACATTTGCGCGGGGGGGTGGCTTGGAATCAACCCCTCACGGATACGGCAGTCCTGCTGCATAACAAAAAACTGAAAAGTCATGGAAAAATCAAGCCAGTTTTAAATTAAGGCATTTAGGTTTAAACTGCTTCATTCTGATTAGATCATGCTTGACATTTTACTATATATGAACATTTATTTTTCATCTCTTTTTGCCACTTTGACTTAGAATATATTATCATGCTTTTGTGTTAAAATATTTGAACAACCCAAAACATTTGGCTGTTTTATTTCCTCTGTGTAGAGAAGATGTGGACAGTATGATCTGTGACCACTGGAGCACATGGCAAAGGAGTTGGATGTTTAAAACAAGAGAGCCAAGACCAGACGAAACAACTGGCATGAGGAGACTGGCCAGTCTTTAGTGGGTGTATCTCCCTCATTAGGACTGAGAGTTGCCATTGGATAAAACATGGGGTGGGGAGAACGCTTTCCTTTTGCTGCTGATGCTGCTTTTTCTGTTTCTATTCAGCAGATAAACATCTCAGTCATGTTTCCTCAGAAAAGTCTATTGGTGTGATTTTTTTTAAAGGATTCACAAACTGCTTCCTGCTCTAATCATCTTTTCCCCCTGCCCTTCCTCCTGAAGCTATGTTATCTGGCCTCTTTTTAATGGGCCCAGCAAGATCCATCACCAAAATCTTTCTGAAACATTCCTATATACCGTCATTTAAAAGATTTAAGACAGTATTTTATCAGAGGTTGTCGCTGGAGGCTGTACTGTGTGGGTGGGGAAGAAAGGCAGGGCTGGACCTCCTGGAAGAGAAATACAAGCTGCCACAGAGCTAAGCAATCTGCATTTCTGTCTCCCACTTGGCAGCCAAATTTGCCTAAGACTCGATCTTAATTATGCCTACTAAGAAGTAAGGTCAACAGATTTAAGTGTAGCTTATTTCTAAAGAAGCATGCTCAGAAGAACTACAGTCTGACTGGTTATAAAATTTAATGACTGCATCATCAAAATAAGAGTCATGTGAAGTGGGTAGACAGAGCGTCCCAAAATTAGAACAGTATGCAATAAACACTAAAATAGTTTGTTTCCAGGAATTGTATTTTAGTAGATGTGAAAACACTTGAGTTAAATCCAGTGTTAGTACCAACAAGAGTAAACCCACTGAAATTGATTTACATTATTTCCCATTTATGAAAGTGTCACTAGCCAGTGTGCCCTTGTGGAGTTCCACCTCTTCAATGGGAATGATGTCACTGGCAGCAACAGATTGCTGCTAATTAAAGAATTCCTTTGTCAGTTTCAGAGTGCATGTGACATGCATGCAATGACACAAAGTGGTGCACACTCCAAAATTGAAAAGGGAACTCTTTAATTGGGAGCAATCCTCCACTGTCAGTGATGTCTTTCCTGCCTTGCAGGCAGAGCTCTGCAAGAGGATCCTGCCCAGTGATTCCAGTGGGTTTGTTCTTATTAGGATTAATTCTGGATTTAGACTCTTGACTTTGTGTTTGACTAGACAGGCTTACAGACTCCTCTGTAGCCTTTCTCATTTAAGTTCACAAAAGCCTAAGTGACTTCTTCATGGGATGGAAATGTGGAGTGGGTTTTACGTGTGTGCCGTGTGTCTACCAAACATCCAACCTTCCACATTTTGTGCAGTTTTATGAAGACATGAGGGAAAGGCTTCTTGCTCTTTTTAAAGCAAAAACAGGAAACTAAAGTCAGCATCTGTAGAAATGCTTTTAATTTTTACTCTTATTAACTTTAGATCTCATTTAATACAGGGATTTTCATGAGCATGTATGAAATCTGGGGCTAGTACAGTCAACCCTCGACTTACAAACTTAATCTGTTCTGGAAAGAAGTTTGTAAGTCAAAAAGTTTGTAAGTCAAATCGGCATTTCCCATAGGAATGCACTGAAAACCAATTAATATATTCTGGCTGTTTTTGGTTCTTAGGTCGAGGGGCGGTTTGTAACTTGAATCATTAGTTCCCATAGGAACTAATGCAAAGCCAATTAATCCATTCCTACCGCTAGGGGCAGAATTTTTTTCCTTTTAACCTAAGATGACAGGTTTAAAATAAAGGAAAGAAAAGAGGGAGGGAATGAGGGAACAGACACTTTTTCAACAAGCACCTTTTCAGCCAAGACAAGCACCTTCTGGGTGCAGGAGTCTAAGGATCTCTGCTTTAGCAAAAATGCCTGGAATCTGTCAATACAATGTGCTGAGATGGCAGAACAGACATTATGCATTGTGTGTGATGGTTGAAATGTGGTGTCACCAAGGATTTGTGGGGAATTTCATCTCTTCTGAGGGGATGGCACCCACCACGTACCACAAAGGATGTGAGACCGATGTAAGTAACTTGGACAAAGATATTGTGGAGGTCATGTTTATCTCGGGTATGGATAGAAAAGTAGCCAAGCAAGACTGCTGTCCTAACCCAGCAGGTCCTAATCAAAGTGGGTGGGTTTTTTTTTTGGATGGGGAAAAAGAAATTTGTTCAACAATTACAAGGGGTAAATGATCTAACAGGGAGCTGTGGGGAAGTCAACAAGCAGATGTGCACAATGGTTACAGGGAAGGCAGACTCAACCATGTTCAGCCCACTTATGCCACCCAGTCATGGTGTGTTGGAGTTGAAGGTGCTGAGGCAAGAGCCGAATAGTGGAATATACTGAACGTTATGGTAAAACAGACCAGTTCCCCAGAAATAACCTAAAGAGAGATAGTTGGAAAGATCCTCCTCACTCCTGTGACTGGTTTTCTGTGCTTGCAATAGATCAGGTTGTAGCCATACTTTCAATCCTGCCTTTCTCCTCCTGGATTGCAATAGCTGCTGTCAGCTGCACAGCAATGCTGAGAGAAGGGAAATTCCCACAGTTGCTTTTTGGCACCAGGGCACCAGGGTGGAGATAGGGAGTGTCCAGGGCCATCCCATTTTGTTGCCTAAGGCAGAGCAGCAGACACCACTTCTACCACTCTTCCAGTCAATGTGCTTAGTATTCAAGGGAGCTTATTATTTTTTGCACATAATGCGGAAAACTTCAGAAATGCCTGTCCCCATCTCTTGATATAAAAATACAACAACAAAACAATTTCCTACCCTTTCATCTCTCTCTCTCTCTCTCTCTCTCTCTCTCTCTCTCTCTCACACACACACACACACACACACACACACACACACACACACACACACCCTGGTTGCCTGAGTCAATTGCTTTACCCTGTATGATAGGTGGGCTGATCTTGTACAAGAGATCCACCATAGATGGGGAGATGTTCAGTGAATGAACATCTCAACAGTCAATAACTTATATAATGCTGGTAGGATATCCCTTCACCTCCACTGCTGCTTTCCAATGCTTAATGGAATTCACCTTTCCTTGTAAAGCCCTCTTGTGGTATCACAGGGGACATACCACAGCAATAAATGCAAAGTGTGTGTGTGTCTGCGCACGCGTGCGCATGCGTGCACGTGTGTGTGTGTGTGTGTGTGCGTGTGTGCGCGCGCGTGCGCATGCGCGCACGTGTGTGTGTGTGTGAGAGAGAGAGAGAGAGAAAGGGAGGGAGGGAGGGAAGAGACAATACTAAAAGAAAAAAAGCTTCATGTTTTCTAAAGAAGTAGTGGGATAAGAGTAAGTTTGGATCAATCAGTAGATTGGTGGATAGTTATGTCAGGATGAACCCCCAAACTGCCGAGGATTGCCAGGTCGGCTATATCACATTGCCTGAGATTCTGGAGTCAAAGCCTGAGACTTGGCCGGCAACCATAGTTTACGACAATAAAGCCTGACTGACATTTACAAATAATGACAGGCCTGGCCTCTCCAAGGATGCTAAGAATCTCTACCATTGCTTTGTTTTCAGCAAGATCTCCAGCGACAAGCCCTCAGCTACAGCACACTTTCTAATATTCTCAGGCTTTTCTTAATGTTTAAAAGATGTCAGAATTCTCAAGATAATAATTAGCTCCAGAGGAGAAAGTTGCAGGAATGTTGGCCTGTTTCAGAGCTTCTGCTCAGGCTTTGAGTCATGGTCTGACCATATTTTGCATGTGTTATGTTTCAAGGCCACACATTTCTACATGACACTCAGAACAGAGGGCTTTGATATAAGCTGCCTCTCTGGATGCTGGAACTACCATTCCCATCTACAGATTGCCAAAGCTGTAAGATGTGCAACAGCCAAAGAGGAACAAGGAACACCTGAAAGGAGGGGGCACAAACATCAAGGAATGAGGATGATCCTGAGGCAGAGAGAATTTTTCTCCTAAAAAGTGCAAAAAGATGTAGTTCGGTCAAATGCTGTTCAGGAAAGATTTTCTACTGATTCACACTGACAAAGATAGGTTGCCTTCAGCGATCTGTGATTCTATGGATCTATTACCCTTGTTCTTGGGACCTTCACATTGGGATTAATACAGTATTTTAGACTATTTTTGGACATGGTCTCAATATATTTGTTGGTGCAAAATATGGCTAGATATTAACCGGGACTGGGTGTTATAAACAAATTATGATACACTATGCTTTGTTATCTTCCCAGATTCCCAAACCTTTCCCAGCCCCAAATAAAATATTTGCTTTCATGCTTGAAAGCCCTTTTTTGTTAGAAGGTTTGAGCTGGTTTAGCAAATTCTTGTTCAAATAAAGGATTGAAACAAAGTTCTGACTCATCTCTAGTCTTGCACAAACCTGCAGAGCCCTTCCAAGAATTCACCACCTATCATGGTCATTGGAGGTTGTAAACAGGTATCCCAAGCTCTGGAACCAACCATATCTTTCTACTAAGGATTGTACAAGTGTCTTTGCCCACCTGGATGTGGAACAGACAAACTGAACTCATTTGCAAGGCAATCGTTTAGCAGGGGAACTCAAGCTCAAAATCTGAGGAACACCATCTTCTGTGAAAGTTACGTTGACCATTTCATTTGCAGCCTGTCTGTTATTTGATTCCTTACAGATTCAAACAGTCACCAAGAAAGTGCTTGTCCCTCAAGAGATTGAAGAACCAGATAATGCTACAGACTCCATCTTTGCCATGATGAATGAAAGTGAGGTGACTGCAGAACCCCAGATGGTCATTAAGAAAGGCCTTCAGTTTAAGGATGGAATGAATGTCTTAGGTATTTATTTTATTTGGTTTTTTTATTGTTTACATTTATGAAACATCTGTTGAATACATTCCAGTGGCATCATACAGTCATGTTAAAAAGAGAAGAAATATGAAATAAAAGTTAAAGAAGATATTGAAAGGAGAAACTATCAGGGAGTGTAAAAGCATTTTAGCAAGTATGCACACCCACTCCCACATCAATTTGTGTTTACTAGGTGTCTACAGAAGTGCTTAATTTTTTTAAAAAAATGTAATTTTAGCCCAACCTTTTCGTTTGTTTTGCTATGTACTCATATGCTATATTTATATGCTAGGCTGCACTGCTTCTGCAAGATACAAACTTAGTGTTACTGATTGCAAGTCATCAGGAGATTGCTCGTATGAACTGTTCTGTTCCTGATCTTTCCAATTCATAAAATATTTTTTAAAAACCCAATTGATTTTAAAATGCTTCGATTTATATATCTATATTTTCATTAAGTTGATTTTAAAAACAGTAATATGCTTTAATACTGGCTTGTCAAAGCATAATATGTGTTCACAAGTTAATTCTGAATTTTGATTGCCTTTCCCATGGATTTCTAGGCACAGAACAATCCGAACTCCTTCATCTTTCTCTTCTTCTAGGTGTAACTTGCCCAATGCCATATAGGCTGCCCCTTCTCCTGCAAGGCATAGTGAGGACTCAGACTCCCAATCCCTGGTTCCACAGCCAGTTTTTTTTTTATTCTAGCGCAAATTTTATGCTGAAGGAATTACAATAGGAGAGGAAAATCAAGAACGATCCTTTTTGTACAATCTTCCCACCACCACTCCAATCTCCTTCCCAATGTTGCTTCATTTCTAGCATCCTTATCCTTTCCTAAGGACATATGGGATTGTTGTGTAGAGAGAGTATGGGCAATGGGTTGCAGCCTAAGAGCATTTGAATCACTAGGTAAAAGGTAAAGGTTCCCCTTGACAATTTTTGTCCAGTCGTGTCCGACTCTAGGGGGCGGCGCTCATCCCGCTCTTCAAGCCATAGAGCCAGCGTTTTGTCCGAAGACAATCTTTCCGTGGGCACATGGCCAGTGCGACTTAGACACGGAACGCTGTTTACCTTCCCACCGAGGTGGTGCCTATTTATCTACTCACATTTGCATGCTTTCGAACCGCTAGGTTGGCGGGAGCTGGGACAAGCGACGGGTGCTCATTCCGTTGCGTGGATTCGATCTTACGACTGCCGGATCTTCTGACCCTGCAGCACAGGCTTCTGCGGTTTAGCCCACAGCGCCACCACGTCCCTTTGAATCACTACTACACTTATTTAAGAGTGATTCCAGTAGTGAAAAAGAGTTTAGGCTCACAGAGTCAGAACACTGGCACTTTCTCTGCAGGGCTTCTTCTTCTTGTAGTAAAGGCGATATCCTCCACTTTTTCCTGTGTTTAAAGTCTGTGAAAGCTGACAAATAATATTGCGGCCATGTTCTTACTTTATATTGTTAAGAATCACAATGGTTTTAACATGTTAACATGTATTCAATAGGTCTCATTGGATTCTTCATTGCGTTTGGCATTGCAATGGGCAAAATGGGAGAACAAGCCAAGATGATGGTGGATTTTTTCAACATCTTGAATGAGATTGTAATGAAGTTAGTAACAATGATCATGTGGTAAGTTGACATAATCACCCACTTGAGGTACACCAAACCCTGTTGCATGATCAGATATCTTATTGTACCTTACGTACAGTTTCTTCATGTGTATATATTTTATGATATGGTCTAGAACACTGGTTCTTAACCTTGGATTACTCAGGAGTTTTGGACTGCAACTCCCAGAAGCCTTCACCACCAACTGTGCTGGCTGGGGTTTCTGGGAGTTGCAGTTCAAAAACATCCGAGTAACAAAGGTTAAGAACCACTGGTCTAGAACAGTAAAACTCATATAATGCATTTGTTTTCCAATACTGCATCCTGTTCTTACTTCAAAGAGATTGGAGAATGTGCACATGAATTTGGGCACCACAGACACTTGTTCCTGCTGGATGGGGAATTCTGGGAGTTGTGATTTAAAAAAGGGAGAGTGCTTTGTGAAGCTCCGCCCATGACTGTTGTTCATTTCTGGAGATGGGAATATTTGTTCTAGGAAGATAAGTTTCCTTTGTTTTGCAGCCAAAGCACATTCTGTTCAGCTATTTATAACTACTCTCTGAGGAAAAGATACATTCCCTCCAGCAGCTTGGGCGATCTATTAAATTCTTGTGAATATGTCAAAGCCATAAACCAAACCTGGGTTGTGTGAGAATTTATAAGAATTGTCAGTAAAAAACATTTCTGTGAAGAGGCTCTGGCACTTATAGAAAGTAGTGTGTAAAATAGCAAATGTGAAATGTTTAAAGATATTTGATTGATTGCAGCTTGTAGGTATTCTGCAGATAGTTCATAGAGAGCTCAGAAGTGAAGCAGGCATATTATTATTATTGTTGTTGTTGTTGTTGTTGTTGTTGTTGTTGTTGTTGTTGTTGTTGTTGGAAACCCATTTCAGTTTTACTTTTTGGAATTTGATGTTTTCAAAATGGAAGAAAAATAAGTTTTATATTTTAAAAAAAACCCTTAATATTAAAAACAGGGCATAAGAGTATTGGCTCCCAACTAGAAGCTTACAGTACCTTGAGTAAGGTCATAGGACCTTTTTACCAGCAGGTGTAGAGAAGCCAAGCAGTCACCATATGGCTAATAATAATACCATTTTAAATTGGAAGAAAAGATAGCTTTTACAAAACTACTACTACTGCTGCTGCTGCTGCTGCTGCTACTGCTACTACTACTACTACTACTACTACAAAATAATAGGCTGAATCCCTGGTCTGTAAGTTACACTGTGTAAGACAGATGATGTCATCAGCAACAGTGATACTTTTTCACATAAAATTTTCCAGTTCCACTCAAGGGTCCTGACACTCCCATGAGTTCCCTTTCATTGTAGAGAAGACATTTGGGGCATCAATAAAAGTTCTAAATAGAACCAAGTCTCTTCACTTTACTCTATATTTGGGTCATGGCTCTTTGTTGACAATGTTTACACTGGGGGATGGTTATGAAATGCTCATCTTTTCCAAACAAAAAAACCCGTAAACTTGAAAATGATAGGGATCATGGAGTGCGCAAGTGCAGGAATAAATCCCTGAACATTAAATACATCTTAATCATGAAAAAAATCTGAGATAAGATTTTTGTGGATTGCATGTTAATATTATATTATGATGCCCAGAGTGGTATAGCGGGAAGATTGATTGATTGATTGATTGATTGATTGATTGATTGATTGATTGGTGTGTGTGTGTGTTTGTTTGTTTATTTGTTTGTTTATTAGGGAGGAGCTCATGCGGGAGGGTCTCCACCAGGCGGCGGGGCGGCTACGGAGCGTCCCCGCAGCCTCTCCAGTCCCGGAATTAGAAAGGCCGGCGCGGGCATGGAGTCCCAGGTAGACACAGGGGACTAAGAAATAGAAGGGGGGAAGGCCTGCCTGAAGAACCAAGTCTTCAGCTTGTTCTTAAACACTCCCAGCAAGGGTGGCAGGCGAATCTCAAGGGGCAAGATGTTCTAGAGTCGAGGGGCCACCGCCGAGAAGGCCAGTTTCTAGTTCTCTCCTTCCAGGCCTCTCTCGGGGTCAAGCCCTCAGCCGCCCAGCCTGGCTAGATCGAGTGACATGGATGGAGCTAGGTGGGAGTAGGGGCTCTGTCAGGTATCGAAGTCCTAAACCATTTAGGGCTTTATATGTAACCATTAATACCTTGAAGTCAATGTGAAAATGAATGGGCAACCAGTGTAAGGCCGCCAGAGTGGGGAAATGTGGATATTTTTTCACCACAGTTAATAATCTAGTGGCTGTGTTCTGGACCATTTGTAGTTTCCGCATCAATCTCAAGGGCAACCTCACATAGAGTGCATTACAGTAGTTTAATCTCAAGATTATGAGCATCTGGACCAGAGTGGTGAGCACCCCAGCATCAAGATAGGAGAGCAGCTGGGCAATCCGCAGAAGATGTAGATGGGCAGTGCAGAACACGGATTCTACCTGGGACTCCATGGTAAGCGCTGGGTCAAGATGGGCCCCCAAGCTGCGGACTTAGGTCTTGGGAGACCTGGATTCAAGTCTCCATTCAGAGCTGGAAACTCACTGGGGGTGAGAAATTGGTAAAACCAGTCCTTAAATATCTCACTTACCTTGAAAGCCCTACCTTCAGTAGGTCGGTTCCACTTGAAGGCGCATTAAAACAATATTTATATTCTCATATCTCCAGGAGTTTTTGTTTGTTTGTTTGTTTGTTTTTGTTTAAAGTTACTTACTACACAGTTCCATTTATTGCTTTGAGGGACAATTTTCCAACTACCTTTCTATATATATATATTTAAACTACATTTCACTTTGTTCCAGGTATTCCCCACTGGGCATTGCCTGTCTCATCTGTGGAAAAATCATTGCAATCAAAGATTTGGAAGTAGTTGCAAGACAGCTTGGAATGTACATGGTCACTGTGATCATAGGCCTTCTCATCCACGGAGGGATCTTCTTGCCTATGTTATACTTTGTAATAACAAGGAAAAATCCCTTTTCATTCTTTGCTGGCATCTTTCAAGCCTGGATTACTGCTTTAGGCACTGCCTCAAGGTATTTGATATACATTTTATATATCTGCTAAAGATATGCCAAATCCTTTCCGATTTGCTGGGGATTTTTAATACTGTGTTTTAGGGAAATAGGGTCAGACTCCTAAATTCAGCTTTTGGGTGACTTGCACAAAGGGACAAAAAGAACAAGCATAATAATCAGTGCAAAGAAACAGAAGAAAAGAAAAGCAACAGAAAAGAAAAAAATGAGAAATTTCTTCCATAAATTCTAAGAAATCAGAGGAAGTTTTAAACCAAGATGAGGGATGTTGAAAAATCAGTAGGGGAATATATTATGATCAGGATAACATAAAAGGAAGATGGAAGTGATAATACAGAATATATGCACGGATGACAGATTCCTTCAAAGAAAAGTTTTGTTGAAGAACCTGCTATTTTACAAAGTGAAATGAAAATGGCTTTCACCCATCTCCTAAAAAGGTCAAAAGCTGATCCAACAGCTATAATAATAATATAATAATAATAATAGTTTATTTACAGTCCTAATACAGAATATATGCACGGATGACTGATTCCTTCAAAGAAAAGTTTTGTTGAAGAACCTGCTATTTTACAAAGTGAAATGAAAATGGCTTTCACCCATCTCCTGAAAAGGTCAAAAGCTGATCCAACAGCTATAATAACTTAACTGTCCAAACAAACTGCTACAGAGCACAGACAAAGTTCTGACTCCTGTCATCTGAAGAGGCCGGCCACAGAGACTGGTGAATCCTTAGGAAGAAAAACCTTAAGAATACAGCCAAACACCCCCGGAAAACCCACAACAACCAAAGCCAAAGCATCTTTGCAGAACACAGTCCTTGCCCTAAGGCTGCCTCTCCCAAGGGAGTGGCCGTTCTTACCTACCCAGCATGAAGGAATAAAGACAGCCAGAGTCTGTAGAATTGGTCAGGAACCTCTGGGTTCAAAAATGGCAAGAGGCCACACACCTCACCCATGCAGTGTACCTGAGAAGAACAAGAACAAGAGAAGATTGAGGAAGAGAACGGAGGTGCAGGACAAGAGAGCTGAACAAGAGAGTGGTATGGCTAGTCACCCACTGAGTTTTAAGGCTCAGGCAAGATTTGAACATGTATCTTCCAAGGCCCAGTCCAACCTTTTAATCTCTGAGTCCTGCACCTCCGTTCTCTTCCTCAATCTTCTCTTGTTCTTGTTCTTCTCAGGTACACTGCATGGGTGAGGTGTGTGGCCTCTTGCCATTTTTGAACCCAGAGGTTCCTGACCAATTCTACAGACTCTGGCTGTCTTTATTCCTTCATGCTGGGTAGGTAAGAACGGCCACTCCCTTGGGAGAGGCAGCCTTAGGGCAAGGACTGTGTTCTGCAAAGATGCTTTGGCTTTGTTTGTTGTGGGTTTTCTGGGCTGTTTGGCTGTGTTCTTAAGGTTTTTCTTCCTAAGGATTTGCCAGTCTCTGTGGCCGGCCTCTTCAGATGACAGGAGTCAGAACTCTGTCTGTGCTCTGTTGCAGTTTGTTTGGACAGTTAGGTATTTATAGCTGTGGGATCAGCTTTTGACCTTTTCAGGAGATTGAGTGATTATGGTTATCAGCGTGTTTTTTGTTGTAGGTGTATTGTTGTGATAAGAGGGAGAGATCCAACTCTACCCAGCCACAAGGACCGGTGATCACTGCACACAAAAGAACAGCTAGCGACACCCATCAATCACAGTGACAGATAATCTCTCCCCCTTATCACAACAATACACC